TTACATAAAAATTATAAAAATTAATATTTATTTTAACATTATTTATATATAAATAATTTTAATTAATTTATATTTTTAATATTAATTAATTATAAAATAATACATTAATTATATCTATCCAAATAGAAAAAAAGAACTGAGAAAATTATTAATGAGTAGAAGTAAATTAGGCCTTGCAAAAAAAAATAATTGAAACCAACGATCTATTGAATTCAAGTAGAAGGAGATCAGTTTCGTTTAAATAAATTCTTGAATTGAAATCTTGTGAATGGAAAAATAGGTGTTGAAAGGGAGAAAGTCTGCTGTATCCCCGGGATACAGCAACGTGGTATCCCAACCCAATGGGAAAACACTACATCAACAATTTTTTCAGACTTCATCAATCCCAAACCCAAAAAACAACTGATGTGGTGTTTTCCCATTGGGTTGGGATACCACGTCTGCTGTATCCCGGGGATACAGCAGACTTTCTCGTTGAAAGGACTTCCTCCAAATGAGATTAGACGTAATTTGATTCTAAATTAATGAAAATTTAATGTGATGATTACGAGATACTAAAAAATTAATAATAATAATAATAAAAAACAACAACCGAATGAAGTCCATCCCCTTATTTTCCAAAAATAAGGTTAAAAACTTAAAATACTTATTTAATCCCTTAACTTTCAAATTTATTGAAAATTATCTTTAAATTTTAATTTTTAGTATCAAAATAGTCTCTAAACTTTAATTTATTGGCAATTTAATCTTTAAACTTTGAAGATAAATACTGACAGAATCCTTCAACTTTGATTAAAAGTACCAATTTAGTCATTTAGCTTTGATTACATGTTAATATAAGATATAAATAAAAATATACCATAATGAGAAAATATAACTAGTTGATTTTACATGTCATTAATTGATTTTGTAGCAAGATAATGTTATGTAGTAAAATAATTAGTCTCATGACACTGTTGCTAATATAAGGACTATTTTGGTATTGATAAAGTTCAAGAATAATTTTAATACTTTTGAAGTTCAAGGATAATTCTAGCATAAATATGAGGGATTAAATTGGTTATTTGACCGAAAAACAAAAAAAGAAAAAGAAGAAAAAATGCCTTCATAATTCATATTGGAAGGTTAGGCTAGGTTGGGCAGGGCTTCATTTGCAATTAAAAATTAAGATTAATAACATTCAACTTAGTTTATAACCCTAACCTAATTACATTTTTCAACCTCAAAAAACCTTAATCAACATTCGACCCCTTCTTT